TGGGCGCGGGATAGCGGGACCAGCGGGACCCACGGTACTGATTAACAATTGGCCGGGATGGGAGGTATCAGGACGGGACCAAAAACCTTTCCCGACACTCCCGATAAAACCGCACCCCCGCAAATTCACAAAATCTCCTTAAAAACGATGTTTGAAATATGCACTTTTAATGTTTTTTTCGAGACGAAAACGAACTCCAAGCAAAACAAAATAATCGGAAGATGCCAGATCATTCATTATTATTTAAAATTAATTTGAAGGACATGAATATTTTTCACCCCTATTGCGAGTGTCGACTGGCAGTAGATAAACGACTATTAAGCGATTATCGATTATCGATGCTATTGCGAGTGTCGCTTAGTCGCTCAATTAGCGACTGTGAATACTTTTTAATCGCTCATCCTTCTATTGCTGTTTTTTAGTCGTTGGAGTTTGCGTTTATAAAATTTACATAAGAAAGTGGTACTATAATGGATAAAAAGTAAGTCAATTGAACTGGAAGTTGTAAAACATTGTGAAATATACATATGCATGTATGTGTCTGAATTACAGATAAAAAATTATAAGCAACAAAAGGCAACTTGCGCGGTTGTTCGTACTGATGCAGGAGAGTGAAGACATAGGCAAAGGAATTTCCGGAAAGAGTAGGGTAGGAAGCTCCGCTTCTATTGGAAAAGATACATATACAATATTTCTTGTGCATATAACTCCGGCTACGCCATCCACAGTGTTTTTGCGCAGAGCCAACATCAAAAGTTTATACAAAAAAACTGCATAATTTATTAATTGACTAGTGCTCGGAAATTTGAAATCTTTATTTTAAATTAAAGTTGAATTCTTTCAATACACTTGTTATGTTGTTATGTTAAAGTTTTTAAACTCGGGTCACGCGTTTGGACACAAAAACCCAACATCATTGTACAAATAACCGTACCGTATTTCTTAAACTTCCATAAAGTTTATTAATGAGGAAAACACCTTTTCCTGCAAATCATGTAAAGCCTAACAACCGTGAAGCATCGGGAACGCAACTTCTATTCATAAAACTCACATATGTGTATACACTTCAGCTTCCAACTCCAAGGGATCCGACGAATCTCGCAATTCCCTCCTTGCTTTAGCCAACTCTACTAATCTATTAGCTTCCACATCATCTTCCTCATCACTAAACCATATTTCAACTGTGTCCATTTTTTAAATTTTATAATAAAAGCAATTATTTTAAAAATGATGTAAATAAAACACTAAAGAAACAAATGTAAACAAACAAACAGCTGTTTACAATTCTGTCAACCATTCACAATAGTACAAATTTTTATCGATCAAGTTACACAATAGCAAAATAAAAGATGATCGACTCGATCGACAAATTTCTATTCTACTGCCAGTCGACACTCGCAATAGGGGCCTTTGTCAACCTTCGATCGGTTTGCAAACCACGCCACTCACGTTGAAATCTCAACCGATCGTTTCAATTTGTAGCCTGCCTTAGTGAAAGATATCGGGACCCACGGGAGCCGCGGTACAATTCTGAAAAACGTCGGGATGGGCGGGTTCGGAACTTAAAAATCGAATTTCGGGATGGGCGGGATCGGAATTAAATATTTAGTCCCGTGCCCATCTCTACTGCGTACTCAAAAAATTCTCAACAATTCTGAGAAAAATGTTTGAAATTTTGGGTGAAAATTTGTTAGTTTTTTTTTTGTTATTTTTACATGAAAATATCATCTAAGCTTTAACGAAAACAGAAAGTTTCAACTTCTTATTCTGAATTTTTAGAAAAGTTTTCGTTATGTAGTTTTATATTATAGTCCATGCAATTTTAGTTTAATAAAGTACAAGTTACAAGCGGCTAAAAAATCGCGTTGATTTTTGAGAATTGTATGGGCTATAAAACGCATACCCAAAATACTGTATATTCATATATGTGACTACTTCTAAACCAAATTAGTATGGGAACACCCTTGAGGCAACACCTTTCCTAAAGAAAAGAATTATGGAAATCGGTGGGCGTGATCCAAAGTTATGCGGTAACATACATAAATAAAATATATATACATATATATCGTCGATGTTTTTGCTAAACCGCCCATCGACCAGTTGCAAACCCGCCTAAAACGCCGTTGTGGCAAAAATGAGATTTAGTAACCCTGAAACCCATAAAAATCATAAAATCGTTATTAAACCAACAGATTTATAAAAAATGTAATTGGTAGAGAAAACACCGCCTTTCAAGGCAACACGTTCAAAGAAAACCCGCTTTTTCGCTCTCCTGTAAAATTTGAGTGCCGTAAGTTAGGCGGTTTTGCAATTAGCCGATGGGCGGTTTTGCAAAAACATCGACGATATATATTCCGACGAATTGATAACCTTCTCCTTTTTTTGAAGTCGGTTAGAAATCAAAATTTTAGGAAATCAAGTTTGAAAGTTTTTGTTATGATATTTAACCCTACATTTACGCAATTGAATTTGTAAAATATGTGGTGTCCGTTTACGCATGGTGTTCTGGATTTTGGTACAACATGGAACATCTAAAGGTTAATCAAGTCCAATCAATAACTCAAAACTGATAAATTTACACATTCCTGCTTCTGGCATAAGGGTGACGATATCGTTACCATCAACGCAAAAGGTCCTATTTGGCAAATGTAAAATTCACAAAGCCAACCCACTTTTTAAATTTACGTATGAAATGCTTGCAAAAAGCTTCGATGAAATCAAAGTAACCGAAATAAATTAGGAAGCACAGAAATTACCGAAAGTCCCCTAAAATAAACCTGAAAAATCGCCAGAAGACCCGTAAAATGAAAACAAAGAGCTTCGAAAAATCTCAAAACCCGGCAAAAATTGGAGTTAGCTATCAGAATGATTATATAACTGGTCCGTCTCTCTAACATTACATAACAATTTGATAAACAAAATAGAAACAGCATTCTACAATAAAACGGGATATAATTCTACACTCGAGAAAATGGTTAAACGAACTTAGTTTTCTAATAAGATCCATATGTAAGGTGAATTAGAAAATGTAAAATATATTGAAAAATTGAAATCTGCAATTGAATTCTAATGTAGTTTCTAACGAACCTACCATTAGTTAATGGTTAGAGAATTACACCAGCTAATGTGGTATTTAAAAACACGAATTTTACATACCGTATTGCTAAGAGTGGTCCCCGAAAAATCTCGGTAATTTTCCGAAAATATCTCAAAAGTCGGCCGCTGTGGTGTAGTGGTAAGCAGTCCGAGTGTATTTCTGCCATGAAAAACAGCTACATATAAAAATACAATCGCCGTTCGGAGTCGGCGTAAAACGGAGGAGAAGCTCGGCCGATCTATTATTATATTATTATTATCTCAAAATGCATCCGAAAATTCTCAAGATATATGTATACCATTATGTCCGAAAAAGCCGGCAAATCCTCGAAAAATTCTGAAGTACAAAGCGCGAAGAATACCGAGAAAATTTTGAACTGTCGCGAAAAACGGTTATTGTAAAAGTAATCGGTGTTTCTCGATAAACTTAAATCATATTCTACAATGAGGGGTGCAAATGGGGTACGCCGCATGAGTTTTTTTTTTTTTTACTATCAGGTTATTCACATCTTGCTGATTATCGGAATATTTGTTCATAACATTCGATTTTCTAGCCAGTTTCCACTAACAAAATACACGGAAGAATAATTACGGTTATTGCTGATTTGCCGTAATCCGACTTTTCATAAAGTCTAAAGGTTCGTTTTGACTATGTCAAATACAATGGCATTTGCGGGCAAATAAGTGAAAACACATTGTCAAAGGAGATTAAAAAGCGCTTTACCGATCGGTTTCGATCAGTATAGATCTTTAGTCGTTTAGTGGTTCATAACATCATCGGTAAAGGTATGGATATAGGAGATAATGGGGTTAAGAAATGCATCAAGCCAAAGAATCGCAGAAGATAATTTAAGTAGGCCTTCTTAAGTAAAGCCATTCTAAGAGGCCTACCCAAGAAGGACTGAAAAAAGTGCTTCCTTGCTTGCCGTCTAGAAGGGCTTATCCATTTACATACAATTTACGCGAACGCATAAATTTATATTATTTAGCATTAGCGAAAGCAGCTCTTCAATTTGTGCCACTCCATACAAAAATGAAAGGAGAAAGGAATGTAGAGTGGAAGGCCTCTTGACTCTCAGGAAGGCCTTTCGGAAATGCTTTTAACTCTTGAAATTATCTACTGGGTGCTATCTCTGGTATAAACAAAAGCAGTAAAGTCGCTGAGTAAAACGCTTGCAAAAGAGCGCCGTTCTAATTGATTCAGTACTAGCGCATGAAGCGAGACAATTGTATTGCATGTCACTGCCTAGCCTAAGTACACAGTAAAAATTCTTCAGGGTTCGAATCGTCACATATGATATCGTATTACTCGTCACGTAAAAACACATTTTTCGGATTAAGACATCAGTGAACGCACTCTATGAAATTCAGTTTTCGATCCGTGAACGGATGTTACGATTCGAGCCCGGGGCTCCGAGAAATGTGTTTTTACGTGACAAGTAATACAATATCGTATCAATAGTCGGAATTGCCATTGGAAATCGTAGGTTATCTTATGTGTATCGATGGTAACCAGACCACCTTTATTATATTTACAATACATATCCATATCATTTTTTAACTTTGTATTTGTATAAAGGAATGCTTTTTCTGATTTGGTTACAAAATTCATGATTGATTTCGTCATAATGTTTCCGTTTTGAGACTTTTGTAAAATGTGTAAACTCTTTCGTAACTAGCATATTAAATAACTTTAATGTTCTCTTTGTCTCAAAAAAACATAAAATGAAAAAATAATAAATATCAAAACCGTATTCCGGCCAACAACATTAAACTCAATACTAATGAAAATGCCCACGCGCTGCATCATGAATAATGCCAAAATCCAACCTATAACTTGATTCAATGCACATTTCTAAACCACGACTTTTTGAAACGAAATGTCAAATGAAATTATTGTAAAGATTACGGATACGGAGGTGGTTATGATGGCGGCTACGGTGGTGGCAGCGGCGGCGGTGGCCGAGGTGCCGGTGGTCCACGCGGCGGTCCAAAAGGTATTAAAAAAATGAAAAATAAAGTTTTTCTATTTTCAAGTTTGTTATGAATTTTGCTTATCTACCTTAGATATTTACATATAATTTTCCAACAAAATTTTGTGCAAAATTTCTTCATTAAAAAAAAAAAAACACTCGGTTATTTAAACGGTTTAATTCTTCGAATTCGGATTTTTCATTTAAATTAATAGCTTTTGCAAAATTTTTGGATAATGCGGATATATGTATTTGGTCGAGAATATTGGAATTAATTTTGGTTTTATTTTCCACATATCATAAGTATCCCTATATATTAATTTAAAGAACCTATTTCATTTACACAAAACTTATGTTATCCAATTGCATTATTTCCAGTATTTATGTATGCTAAAATTCCATAAATACACATATCGTTTTTATTGAATTCGATTGGAAATGGTGCAGAAATAATTATGTTATATGTGCATTATAGATTTATATGTACTATATGCACACAGTAAATCATAGAAACGTATTTAAGTCAATCGTTTTCTGTAGTTTACCTATTTTGCCAAGCTTCCCCCATCACTATTTCTACCCTGTAGCGCATGTTAAATTGTATTTATCTTCGGGTTGATGCTACACCCTTGGTTGGCATTTGCTGAAACAGTTGTTGAAAAAAATTGATGTTCGTTTTATATTTGTAATTCTTCAATAGGTGCCGGCGGCTTTCCTTCGGGCAAGCAAAGGGGGACAGGACGCCAGCCCAGACATCAACCATACTAATCATTTTCATTGCAATAAGTTGATAGTAATAGACAGACGCCGGTATATAAAGAGAATACAACACAAACTGAACAGTTAGTCAGCAATTAAATTAAGTTTTTATTAATCGCTTGGAAATTTATGAAATAAATCCAGTACCAGATTAGTTGCGGTAAGTAAAATAAAACGTTATAAAATATAATCATTGTAAGAATTTTAAAATTAACAAGTAATTTTTAAGCAAAAAAAGCCGGGTGCCTCGACCTTTTTTTTAGCTTAATTTGAAACAAAACGGAACTGGAATCTTTACTATTACCCGGAAGAACAATTTTTGACGTTTACTTTTTAAAAATAATTTAATTCAAATGTTGGCGCGCGTAGGTGGTCCATTCGGATGGTCCAATTTTCAATTACTCTTTCCAGCATAATGGTTTCCAAGTTTTGAATCGTAGTTGGCTTAAAAAACAAAAATGAAAATAAATAGACTTTTACTTACTTGTGATATCAGACGATCGCACGGTATTGCCAATAGTGGTCTCGGAAGTTCGATGATGCACACCAGCATACTATGTTGGGCGACGTGCAAGAACTTTTCTCACAGAACGCTGATTTTCGTAATAGAGCTGTACGATTTGGAGGCGTTGTTGTGTGAGCCTTTCCATGATAAATTGGCAAACAATACTAAATAAAAAATAAGATGGCATTATGACACTTGTCACGTGGGATTTTTGCAAAAAAGCGAATCAAAAAATGTCTAGATGAATCCATGGGAAACTGAACCTCGGTGTAAAAATTATTTTCGTTATAAAACTAACAAACGTGTGGATAGGACATTTATAAAAATCTTAAATGAACCAAAAAATAACAAATTATCGCCCAAATTCATAAAAAAATAAAGATGACTTTAACTGCCTTATAAATAGAAAATTTGTAAGAAAATGTCACTTTATAGAGCTCTTTAAAACTATTTTATTTATTATGAATACGACCGTAAAACTTTAAATACATTTTTACTACCTTTTATTTCGTTTTGAAATCAAGTTCTAAGTAAATTTTTTTAGTGACTTTAAAGTAGGTTGTGTTGAAGGTACGGTCAAATGATTCGCAATTCATAATTCAAGTGTTTGGTAAGAAAAATATATAGTAGAACTCATCTGCCTTTAATAAAATTGTGTTATATAATAAATTGTGTGAGGGCTTTATCTATATTATAAGTTATTTTTAACCAGTATTGGTCTTGTCTCACCTGTGACAAAAAAAGCTGAAAGTTGTTATATTTACCCCGCAAACCATTTTTTCAGAGTATTCTGAATCGTAGAGAAATTTTAAGGAATTCGTAAGGATCTCATCCGATTTTTCTTGGATTGGTTTAGAGAAATTGGATTTATATGATTTATATTGTAGAATGAACTATATTTTCATAAATAATCAATGCAAAATTTTGTCATGAAAATAATTATTATTATTAGGTGTACACTTTCATTAGTCGCCTAATTAATCGCATTAGATGAATTGATAACCTTTCTCCTTTTTTGAAAGCAGTAAAAAAATAGATATGTAGTATGTGCTGTGCCAATAATGTATGTAAATAGGGTTAGAGATCTTTTAATAAGATTTCGCTATTGTTTAAAAATTTTTTATGTTTTTTTATGAAAATTGAGCTTACTATCTAAAAAAAAAACACTTTAATCAAAATTACAAACATTGTAGAACATTTATAAAAAGTCGACGAGTTTTAACAAATGTTCATTAAAATTTTAAACTTTATAACAGATTTTTCACAAGTTTTTAAGTATGCAGTTTGTAGCCCATAACATTTTAATAAAGTGCAAGTTTGAAGTGGCTGGGACTTACCGTTGATTTTTGGCAAGTCTTTGTTCACACATTTTCTTCCATACAAAGTATATTCTGCAATTTTTTTATATGGAGAAAATGAGGTTCATTCCATGTAAAAGAGGAAAACGACATTAATTTTAAAATGCCCAATCATCTCTAATTCAATGACTACCTCTTTTTAAATGACTACATTTCATATCAGTTCAAGGATATTAAAAAAAAGTTAACTTTTGTCTGTGGAAACTTTTACTTCATGGACCCACCAGTCGCAAATTTAAATATTTTTTAATATTTCTATGAAGATTATATAAGCCTAATTTTTATTGAAAACGAAAGCGTATGGTTCATATTTTATAACACAAAAACGTCTTTCGCGAAAATTAAGTGTTTTGGCTAAAATTCATCTTTGAGTGCGCAAAGGAAAATAGAGCTCATTTTAGGGACGGAAAATAATCATTGTTCTTTTTTATTTTTAACCAAAAAAATCCACAAGTTTAATCGTCGTTAATCAATTTTAACTGTACTCACGTGTTTGTGTTCGTATGTCCGAGTCTAACCAATAAAGATCAAAAATAATCATTAATATTTGAGTTTTATTTTTTGCTCAAATTAAATTATTACTTGATTTTTATTCTTTCGATCAAAAATAATGAGTTCTCTTCAGTGTCCCATACACATTCATTAAATGATATAAGTTATAATTCACAATTTATATTCTGGAGTGAAATGTCCCACCAGTCACAATGGAATGGCTCATGAGCAATAGCTTCCACAAAATAAAAAAATGCCAAAAAATCAACTAGTCACTTCAAGCTTGCCCTTTATGGGCTATAAAACTGCATACTCGGAATGTTTTTTAAGAAATCTAATTAAAAAGCTCAACATTTTAATGAAATTGTCGAATTTTGCTAAGTTTAGTACGAAGTTGGAAATTTTGACTTACATGGGTTTTGTTAGATAACGAACTACACTTTTCATTTACAAAAATAATGAGCATTAAGTAAATGAAGGGAAATCGCCACAGTGTGTATGAACTAAGCACTAGTAAAATTTGCCCTCGCTGTTTTGTTTAACATTTTTGGAAAATGTAGAAGGTAAGCATGTTTCATTTCGTGCAAGTATAACCAATAGTGGAGATCGTTAGTTTTTTATTTAGCATTTCTGTGCTTAGAGCCAATTTCCCACCAATTAAAGGATGTGTGTAGGAAGCAGATGTAAAATTTGAGCCGATTACTGCCCCCGTCGATAGGCTCCATAAAACAAAAATTGTAGACGGCGTGTCGTTGTTATTTCTTTTTGAAATTATTCAAGATCACGCGATTCCCTAGTTTGCTAACAAGAGTTCCAAAAGTGTATCCCAGATGGGTTTACACTGGATACATTACACTTGATCACGCTTATGAAGCAAAATAGCTTCAGTCAGTGGGCGTTATACAGTGAGCTTAAGATCCGACATGATTTTCAGTACAGATTTTTTAGCTTATTTATAGAAGAAATAACAACGAGGCAAGAAATTCAAATCCTTTATTATATTGGCGGCAAAACCAATTTTTAACCAATTTCAATACAAAAAGTATTAATTTCGAAAATGCTGTAATGGATGAGATTCCGTTCTTTTTACTTCACCATTTTGTTTGCTTAATATTAGTAATAGTAATATTTTTGTAGCACATGCAATTTTAGTATAATAAAGTGCAAGTTTAAAGTGGCTACAAAACACCGTTGATTTTTGAAAATTTTTTGTATTGACGGTCCTGCGCATTTTCTTTCACATTCAAATTTTGTCGAGGCATACTTTGTACAAGTAGAATATGCTGCTGTTATAAAAAATTAATGAACACTAACAAAAGGAAAACAAAAGGAAAACTGTAAAAACTGAGAATCAATAGGGTATGCTGTTCAAATGACTGGCAGCGTATTTGAAATTGTCTTCGCAGGTCTTTCGTTGCTCATTGATTTTTTCCTTATACATATATCTACCTAAGTATGATTTGTCATTACACGTAAAACTAATTGATTAAAACTAAAAATATTTCTTTCTTACAATTTCAGCGTAATACTTCATGTGGCACACGCACGCACCAGCACTACATTTCGTCATCCGCATTTAGATTACAGTTAGGGGATAAAATATTATTTTGAATTTTTTATCCATGATCCGAATAAATCATTGCAGCAAAATCAACAACACAACAAAACAAACAGCCATTCATTCCGCAAAAAAAAAAAAAATCATTAGAAATAATTTGAACATTATCAGTAACGGTCTTACCATACATATTTTAGTGTGCGTGTGCATTGACGAAAAGAAACAACCGGCTTTATAATTAATAACACACCAGAAGTGCAAGCAAAAAAGTCTACAAAATCCAGCGTTGCATGAATTGCAACTTGTCAACTTAAAAACAATCCAACAATCAATAGTTTATTAGCACTTACTTTTCATTAGTTTTATATTGTCATAATTACTCTTAATCTTATGTTACCTAATACACTTACTTTAAAATGGTAATTTTTATGCTCTAAGTAGTAGGTTTGATATGTTATCAGTTAGCAGGTTAGCAGTTTGTAATCATACATTTCAGCGCCACTTTGAAACGCTATCTACCTTATACCAATCAATATTTCCTTAAATGTGCGCATAACATGGCTAACATTCACGGACGTGCATACATTCATGTGTATGAATGTGTGTTAGGTGTATGGTTGCAACTTCACATCATCTACATCCACAATTGTCACTCAATTCGTAATAAAGCTGTCATATTACGTTACTGACAGTGTTTACTTTTTTTTGCTAGCATACATATTGTGCGTTATGTACCAATTTTTTATACTTATCTATACTTATATTGATATCTAAAAGTAAGCGTATAACTAAAAATGGCAGATAAACGAAAGAGAAGAAACAAAATAAGTTTACCAAGTTAAATATGCTTAAAACACGAGTACTATGGAGTGACAGAGCGTAGTGAGAGAGACTGTAGCATCAAGTAATAAGACGAATTAAATCAGCAATTGTATTAACTGGAATAACAAGAGAAAATAAAACATCAAACAAAAACAAATCCACCAAATTATTAGACACTTACCGAATTCAACTAAAGACAAAATATGTATAATGCAATACATATACATAGAAAACAATACATACATATATATATTTATTCTCATAGTATATGTATATACATACAATTAAATATATTATAGAATGCAGAACTAAAAACAGAAAAAGGATTTATATTTTAATAATGATCTAAAATGATAACAAAGAGAACGCAAGGATGTTATGACGGCATTGTGGTGGCAGCAAGTAAAGAACAGCCTTGAAAATCGGATGTGACACAAAAGTAGTCTTTTATAATAAATAAAACGAAACGCCGACCACAATATTTTATAATTTTGATGTTTTTTTTTTAATTCAGCGGGACATCAATGATGTAATACATATGTATGTGTCCTTCCTGCTAATTTCCGAAAAAATATGTTTACGGGAAAAGGTAAATATCAATATCTTTAAAGAGCCAAATTGTTGACAGAAAAATAAACTTCGATAGCTATGGCTCGTGGTCCGGCGGTTCAGACTATAAGAGCAAGATACCGGCATTACACTCTAACCACTCTATTCTCAACGTTAATATGCCCACAAAAATTTTACATAGTCGTACAGCAACGCTTGCATGAGGGAGGTTGTTTGAAAAAATTTGCTTGCAAAAAATGGAAAACGAAAGTGTTGCAATCTAAATGCAGCGTCAAAAGCAGAACCCAAAATCTCCAAATATGAATACATGATGTACATACTATGTACGTGTAATTTATGCACGCAAGTATTCTACTTATGTACGGACTAGGTATGGACGTGACTTGTTAGATTGCTAACATTATAATAATAATGTTTATTCATAGTTCTACATGTATGTACTGTATTTTATTCGCAGAAAAAAAAACAACAAACAAAGCAAACAAAACTAAATGTATGATTAAATTTAATTATGATACAGGAAGAGCAAATCACTAATTGCAACATGAATGAAAATCTTAAATAAAAAACTATTATAAACAAAAACTCAATGTACAAATTAAGGAATTGAATGTGTTTTATTTTAAGTTAAATGTGATCTTAGTGAAAAGCGGGATTGAAGGTGTTAATAAGTATGCAAAAGAGAATTTTATGATAGCAATTTGCGTCGAATGTTGCATTTCGCACAAAAATATGTAGCTGTAATAGGGGTACCCGCTTGACAGTGGGGAAAAATTAGACATCTTTTGGAGTTTCGGAGTTACAGTTATTAAAGTTTAAAATAAATCTCTAAATACACTCCGCCTCATTCGAGGCGGGCGAACAAAAATCTGAACATTTTTAATTTTCAGCCTGTTAAAATTTAAATTGACAAAATTTTGTTTGGAAAATTTGTCATTTTAAATTTTAAAACAGTAAAACTGCTGTGAGCCGGGAAATCGCCAGTAAACCCTCCATTTGGGGGTTAAACTACGTGTCAGTCAGTGACGGACCCACGGGAGGTGTTTTAATATGGCGCATATGTGTGTAAAATATGGCGTTTATGCATTAAAACACCCCCCGTGGGTCCGCCACTGACTGACACGTAGTTTAACCCCCAAAAGCTGCCCCCCGCTGGATCCGCCACTGGCACAAACAAAAATAAAATTAGTGGAAATCAAAATATTAATCATGATTCAATAATACAAGGTTAGATAATTATCGACAGCCGCCGTTTGACACTCAAGGGGAAGAATGAAATCTCTTGGTGCGAAAATGGTTGTAGAAAAGTACGCAAAGTAGGCAATTAGTAGTAAAATTCCTTTTGTAAATTCTAATGTATTTGCAGGAAATGTAGCATTTTACACGAAATATTGAAGAAATGTTAATATATCTACGTGAATTACGCAATTTTTGTGTTATTTAGCCGTATAAAAACTGCAAAAAGACTCAAAATTAAAATAAAACTACTATGAGATTTATGTAAACATTCAATTTAAAAGCAGTTTATGTTTTCATCAGTTAAATGTGCTTCATATACATAAACAAATAAACATATTGCACAAAAGCTTA